TTTTCAACAACACATTCTCAAATAAAATAATATTATACTTAAATTCAAAAAAATTTCTTTTTTTTTCTTTTTTTTGCCACACATTCTTCAAAAAATTATCATTACAAAATAAAATTTCCCAATGTCTAATAGTCATTATTTGTCAAATTTGGATATTGTGTGCATAATGTTAAAAAGGTTGGAGACATGAGAGCCACACTTACAAAATGTTGGGGGACCTCGAGAGGAATTTGCCCTTAATTTTTTTTCATATTTCCTCTACATATCTGTGTATATATATGTGTGTATGCTTCGTTCGTATGATCCAACCCTCTCTCTATTCACTGATACTCTCAATCGTATATTCCCAGCCTTTTTTTTGTGTGAAAAGAAGCCCATACAGTTTCAACGATGAATGCATTACCAAAATGTGAAGCCAATTATGTATCTCTTACTCCTATTACTTTCTTGAAGAGAGCCTCTATGGTTTACGGGGATCGTATATCAATAATATATGCCGGGGTCCATTTCACGTGGCATCAAACTTATGAGCGGTGTCGCCGCCTTGCATCATCTCTCCGATCACTTAACGTCGGCAAGAACCACGTTGTAAGTATTCTTTTACTGCAAATAATATTGCATGGTCTCAAAGGCAAGGTTAACTGAGTTTGAGTCTTGCCGTGCTCATTTATAAAAGTTGTGAATGCGTCAAAAATTATATCAACAAAGAGGGAGTTTAATTGCTTGTCTGGTTATTTTGTTCAGGTTTCAGTATTGGCTCCAAATATTCCAGCCATGTATGAAATGCACTTTGCCGTGCCCATGGCAGGGGCCGTGTTGAACACTATCAATACAAGACTAGATGCTAAGAACATTGCCACCATTCTCCGCCATTCCGAAGCAAAGGTTTTCTTTGTAGATTACCAGTTTGTGCCTCTGGCTCGTGATGCCCTTCGGCTACTAATGGATGATATGCAGAAATCTGGTTCGCCTGAAATGTCAATGCCACTGGTTGCAGTAATTGATGATATCGATTCCCCGACCCAAGTCCGATTAGGCGAGCTTGAGTACGAGGAACTATTGTATCAAGGGGATCCAGGATATGTCCCTGGAGAGATTAATGATGAGTGGGATCCAATTGCTTTGAATTATACATCGGGCACAACATCAGCACCTAAAGGAGTTGTGTACAGCCACAGGGGTGCTTATTTGAGCACTTTGAGCTTAATATTAGGCTGGGAAATGAAGTCTGAACCTGTTTATTTGTGGTCACTCCCTATGTTTCACTGCAATGGCTGGACCTTTACTTGGGGTGTTGCAGCGCGAGGAGGGACCAACGTGTGCATTCGCAACACGACAGCAGAAGAAATGTACAAAAGCATAGCTTTACACAAAGTGACACACATGTGTTGTGCCCCAATAGTTTTCAACATCCTCCTTGAAGCCAAGCCACACGAACTCCGCCATATGACCACTACCGTCGAAATCCTTACCGGTGGTGCACCGCCTCCAGCGCCACTTCTCGAGAAAATAGAAAGTATTGGTTTCCACGTCGTCCATGCCTACGGCCTAACAGAAGCCACCGGACCTGCGCTGGTGAACGAGTGGCAAAAAGACTGGAACAAATTTCCTCGAGAGGATCAATCCAGACTCAAAGCAAGGCAAGGGATTAGCATATTGACACTGGCAGATGCTGATGTGAAGGACATAAAAACTATGCAAAGTGTACCCCGAGATGGTAAAACTATGGGTGAAATAGTCCTCCGAGGTAGCAGTATCATGATGGGGTATTTGAAGGACGAAAATGCGACGTCTAAAGCCTTTCTCGGAGGCTGGTTCGCCACTGGGGATGTCGGGGTAATTCACCCCGACGGGTACATAGAAATCAAAGATAGGTCGAAAGACGTGATCATTTCTGGTGGGGAGAATATTAGTAGTGTAGAAGTTGAGACAGTGCTGTATCGGCATCCTAGCGTGCTCGAGGCATCAGTCGTAGCCATGCCTCATCCGAGGTGGGGAGAGAGCCCTTGTGCATTTGTTACCATTAAAAAGAATTACGGGGATGTTAAAGAAGAAGATATTATCCAGTACTGCCATAAAAATTTACCACGTTTTATGGTGCCAAAGAAAGTGCAATTCATGGAAGATTTACCTAAAACTTCCACTGGAAAAATTCAGAAATTTCAGTTGAGAGCTTTTGCAAAGACTATTGCTATTTCAGAGAATGGAAATTCATCCAACAAGAAGTCAACTCAAGTCAACCGGGAACAACCCAGATATTACCATCAAACTGGGTCGCAGATTCTGGCTTCGTCTCGGTTGTAATATAATTATATGATATATTATTTTCTCCCCAATGACGCCGTTAGATTTTTACTTTTTCAGAATTTTTTAATGTATTCGGTTATCCTAGACTTGCTTATCAAGAGTCCTGTGAATGACGCAAAGTCCAAGACCGTCCATTGTCCTTAAAAAGTAATCCACTTGTACTATTTTTCTTCTCTCTAAATTATTTTTGTTATTTATCTTTTAGCATTTTGCACTCCAACCCAAATCCGCTTCTCTAGAGGCTAAAGAAATGCTCTCAACCTTACCTTCCAATATGCATAATTGCCTCCGTCAAAAAA